CAGTCCCAAAACACCAGCACAATTTCTCTTTTGAACAAAGTATTCATCATAATTGCAAATATCATGCATGATTTTATTGAACAAATGTTGTTGCATTCTATACCTCCCTCGAAAATGAACATTAGAGTATAGAGACGTTGGGATAAAATAATCTTCCGTAAGATTCTTACCTCGAGAATGCCTATGTCTGTCAACATTTGGGGCACAGCCTTCATGTGAACCACGACTGCTCTGGTTTTCTTCATCAAGCATGGCCACAGCCATGACAAGTTGCTGATCTAGATCTTTCTGCGCTCTTTTGCTTGCAGCTCATTTACGCCTTCTTTCTCTTATTTCTCGCTCTTGCCTCTCCAAGACCTCCATGTCTGACATTGTGAATGGAAGATGAAATCTAAAATCTAAAATCTGAGAAATGAAATTTTTGAGAAGATGTAGTGTGAGAGCTTTGTGAGATGAGCCTTTGTTTTATAGAAAAATTTAGGTCGATAGACATGACACGTGGCGCAAGTTGATAGGGTGAAAATCTTATCCGAAATTTGAAATTCAAATGAAATGTATCTGAAATGTGAAATTCAAATGAAATTTATCTGAAATTTGAAATTCAGATGACACGTGGCGCAATTTTATAAGGTGAAAATCTTATCTGAAATTTGAAACTCGGATGAAATTTATCTGAAATTGAAATTCAAATGCAAAGTTGAAATTCAAATGAAATTTATCTGAAATTTGAAATTCATATGTAATTTATATGATTTTGAAAATTTGAAATTTATCTAAAATTTGAAAAAAAAATTTATCTGAAATTTTGAACCGAAAATCTTATCTGAAAATCTTATCCGAATATTTTATCAGAAAATCTCATCCGAAAATATTGTCCAAATTAATTGTTTAGGTAAACAAATTTGTGAAAAAAACAAAAACTTGAATAGTACCCCTCCTTGCCATGGCAACTGCTGGAAGTGCAACTTACTTTTTGCAATGGTAGACATTATTCCAGTGAATAGTGTCAGCCATAGCCCCCCCTTGCCATGGCAACGTTCTCACTGCTGGAAGTGCTCTAAGAGCAGGTCCAACGCAGGACCCAAACTGGGGGAAAGGGCCCCCTGGCGAGCCCGAGATGGCTCCAGTGCAAGAGAAGCAGCCCGGTTTCGTGGTGGGTCCCACCAACCCAGGCAAGCCCAAGGGCAACTTCTGCCTAGGCTGAAGCCCGAGTTTTGTGACGTCAGCGCTGGCATCACGCTGACGTCAGCGCATAGTAAAGCAGATTTTTTTTACTGTTGGCGTGTGAATTACACGCGCCAACGGTAAAAAAACATTTGATTTCCGCGCGCTGACGTCAGCGTTGGCAGAATCCAACGGTAAAGTGCCACATGTCGCGACAGGGACGCTTCGATCTTTTTTTCCAGAAATCTGACGGTCCTCGTTTTTTTTGGCTAAAAAAATTGCAAAACAATTCGAAAAAATTATGAAAAATTATGAATTTTTTTTTAAATACCAAAAAATTCTGTATTTTTTCCCTATAAATACCTAACCATTTTATTCACTTTCTACACCAAATCTTCATAAAAACTCATCTCCTTCCAATATTTTTCACTTTCCACATCAAAATCTTGGCAACGAGGTAAAAAAAAAAAAAAAAATCCGTTTTATTCAATTTAATGTCTTTTTATATATATATATATATTTCTTGCATTTCCAATTTCTTTTTTTTTAATAGATTAGTCAAGGCAAAACCAAAAAGAGAAAAACCATTACACATGGCTCCTCAAGTGAACAATGCCCGCAGTCAGTTCCAGTGGTGCGTTCTGTGTCAGAAATAATGGCACTATTACGTCCTCCGAAGGAAAATACTCCCCCACGTCGTGATCCGGTGGAACTGCCTCCGCCAATGATGGAGTTGTCCTTGTATTCCATTGTGTCGGACTATGAAGACCAAGAATATTTCAATTGTATGATGAGTGAGATGTGAATTTTATAATAAATATGGACATGTGGTAACCGAAAATTTTATCCAAAAATTTTATTTGAAAATTGTATTCGAAAAATGTTATCTTAAATTTTAAGTGAAAATTTTATAATAAATAGTGACACGTGACAACCGAAAATATAATCTAAAAAGCTTATCAAAATTAATGGTTTAAAGTATAAACAAATAGGAAATAAAGTACAATAAATAGTAATTGCCTTACACTTGCCCTAGACTTTGCTCTCATGGGTGGAACCACAAATGCAAAGGCTGACACTATTCACATGAATAGTGGCAGCCCTTGCTTGCTCATGCCTTAGACTTAGCCCTTGTTGGTGGAAGTGCTCTAAGAGCAACTCCACCGCAGCACCAAAACCGGGTGAAAGGCCCCCCGACTTGGCCCAAAACAGCTCCAGCGCGAGAGAATCAGCCCGGGCAACTGCTGGGTCCCACCAGCCCAGGCAGGCCCAAGGGCAACTTCCACTTGGGCTTCAACCCGAGTCTTGTGACGTTAGCGCACGGAAAATCAATTTTTTTTTACCGTTGGCGCGTGTAATTCACACGCCAACGGTAAAAAAAATTTGATTTCTGCGCGCTAACGTCAGCCCTCACAGAATCCAACGTAACGTGCCACGTGTCGCGACAGGGACGCTTTGATCGTTTTTTTCTAGAAATTCGACGGCCCTCGTTTTTTTGGCTTAAAAAATTGCAAAAAAAATCAAAAAAATTCTGAAAAATTCTGAATTTTTTAAAAAAAATTATGTATTTTTTCCCTATAAATACCTAACCATTTTATTTACTTTCCACACCAAATCTTATCTGAAATATGAGGTTATAATTTTTTTTTTTTAATATCTGAAAATTGTATCTGACGTGGGACACATGGCACAATTTTAGAGAGTGAAAATCTTATCCGAAAATTTAATTACAAAAGATTATCAAAATTAATGGTTTAAAGTATAAAAAAATAGGAAATAAAGTACAATGAATAGTAACTGCCATAGACTTGCCCTAAACTTTGCCCTCATGTGTGGAACCACCAATGCAAAGGCTAACACTATTCACATGAATAGTGGCAGCCCTTACTTGCCCTTACCTTAGACTTAACCCTTATGGGTGGAAGTGCTCTAAGGGCTAAGTTCAGGGTAAGGGCAAGCAAGGGCTGCCACTATTCATGTGAATAGTGTCAACCTTGCCATTTGTGGTTTCACCCATGAGGGCTAAGTCTAAGGCAAATACTATTCATTGTACTTTATTTCCTATTTTTTTATACTTTAAACCATTAATTTTGATAATCTTTTGTAATTAAATTTTCGGATAAGATTTTCACTCTCTAAAATTATGCCACGTGTCCCATGTCAGATACGATTTTCAGATATTTAAAAAAAAAATTATAATCTCATATGTCAGATAAGATTTTCACCCTCTAAAATTGTGCCACGTGTCCCATGTCATATATGATTTTCAGATATTTTAAAAAAATTAGGGTTAACTACAGTAAACCCCCTAACCTATAGGGTCATTTACGAGTCCATACCCGATTTTGGGGACATTTATGGGTACATATTCAACGTCGCAGAAAACCTACAGATTGCCCCTTTCGTTAGCGAGTTCGTCAGGAAATCCGTTATCTGCCTACGTGGCAAATGTGGGTTTCATTTTTTAATGAGGTGGACTTACAGGTGGACAAATAAATAATAAAAATTTATTTTTAAAATAAATTTTAAAAAAGCAAATAAAATTAAAAAAATAAATAATAATTAAAAACATTAATTAAAATAAAATAAAATAAAATAAAAAACCCTCATCTTCTCCGTCTCCTCACCCCATGTCTCCAGCCAACTTCACAATTTTCTCAACCTCTCTGCAAACCTTCTCTTCCTCCTTCACTTGCCCCATTTTCTTTACTCTTTGTATGAGAGTAATTAATCGAAGAGTTACAAGAACCAAATGGAGAAGAAATTGATTGAGATTTTGATCTGGGTTTCGGATGCACTTGGATCCAAATGAATATATTCAAAAGCACTTGAAATTCCTGGTGATGTAGCTGGGCTTTTCTCTGGTGAAAAAGACTTGGCCTTTGGATCAGAAGCATTTGATTGTCTCTCTAGTGACGATAAATAAGATGAAGATGATGAACGAGATTGCTCATTATGATATGAAAAGGCCGAAACTTTCGATGACGCATCTGGGTTCTTATCTCTGGTGACGAAATGGGCGAGCTTTGGTCTGAAACAACTGAAATTATCTGTGAAAATGAAATTGGGTTCTTAGCTGATGCATATGGGTTCTTCTCCAAGCTTCTCTCTGGTGAAAAAGATAGCGGATGAGGATGGGGGCGCAGGTGCTGGGGTTCGGGGTGTTGTTGGTGATGGCTGAGGGATTTAGTCGGGATTCATATTGTGGTTTGGGTTGGGTCGGAGAAGGTGGTAGGAGAGAGAGGATAACGGTTGAGAATGCAAGGGGATATCGGAGAAGATGAATTTTTTTGTTTGTGTTGGGCTGCCATGGGTGGGTGTTGAGGGAGGGTTGCAACGGGGGAGAGTGGTGGGTTCTTCTGGGTTGGTTTTTTGTTTTTATTTTTTATAATCAATTTTAAAATAATTTTAATGATTTAAACTTAGTTTTGAAAAATATATAATTTTTTATTATTTATTTCTCCACCTGTAAGTCCACCTCATTAAAAAATAGAATCCACATTTGCCACGTAGGCAGATAACGGATTTTTTGACGAACTCGCAAACGGAGCAGGCAATCTGTAGGTTTTCCGTGACGTTGAGTATGTACCCATAAATGTCCCCAAAATCGGGTATGGACGCGTAAATAACCCTATAGGTTGAGGGGTTTACTATAGTTTACCCAAAAAATTATAATATCATATTTCAGATAAGATTTTCACATTCTAAAATTATGCCACGTGTCATATCTATCTTCTAAATCCCTCTATAAAACTACACCATTAACTCATACCTCTCACACAATCTCTTTTCTATTCCTTCATTTCTCAGATTTTACAAAATACATTATACTCTCAATGTCAAACTTGAGGACGGTGTTGGAAAGGCAACTAAAAGAAGGGGAAGAAATCCAGCGTAGAAGTGCTGAAGAAGATCGGGACGCCGATGAAGAAAAGGAACAAATGCTTGCAGCAGCGGTGTGTATGCTTAATCAATCAAGGCAACACCATCGTCGTTGTGCCCCGAATGTGGACAGACGTAGGGAGTCTCAGGGTAAGAATCTCTTGGAGGATTACTTTATCCCAAATTCATTTTATCATGTTTCTAAGTTTCTAGAGAGATATAGAATGCAGCCACATTTGTTCCAAAAAATCATGCATGATATTTGTAATTACGACACATACTTCATTCAAAAGCATGATGCTGTTGGAGTTTTGGGTCTTATCCCGGAGCAAAAACTTACAGCTGCTTTACGGATGCTTGCTTGTGGGGCATCTACAGAGCAGGTAGATAAGATTGCAAGGATGGGAAAATCTACTATCCTAGAGTGTTTGGTGAGATTCTGTGATGCAGTGGAAAATTTGTACACGAGGGATTACCTTCGCAAACTCACGCCGAGGGACTTGCAAAGGCTTCTACAAAAAGGGGAGGCTCGAGGTTTCCTAGGAATGATTGGAAGCATCGATTGCATGCACTGGCAGTGGAAGAATTGTCCTATTGCTTGGCAAAGAGAGTACGGGAATCAGAAGGGCCAAAAAAGTATAATTTTGGAGGCCGTAGCTTCATTCGACTGTTGGGTTTGGCATGCCTTCTTCGGGGTTGCCGGATCTCAGAATGACCTCAATGTCCTTGGTCAATCCCCGGCGTTCGACGAGGTATTGTGAGGTCATTCCCCCCAGGTCACGTACCAAATCAACAATACCGTATACTCTGGTGCGTACTACCTTGCCGACATAATTTATCCTAGGTGGATGACATTCGTGAAAACAATTTCGAATCCCCATTCTGAGAAGGAAAGAAGCTTTGCTTCCTTTCAATAAGGTTACATGAAAGACATGAAAAGGTGTTTCGGTATCTTGCAAGCTCGTTGGGCAATTATTAGGGGTTATGCTCGGATGCTAAATGAGGAGGTGCTGCGGAGTATTATGATGACTTGCATCATCCTCCACAACATGATTGTGGAAGATGAGTATGACTACAATGCTCTAGAGGTGTTTGAACCTGATCCCATGAACACGACATTGACAAGAATATATGAAAGGCCGATGGGACCAAATGGACTACCATTAGAGCCCGAACTGTTACTTCGAGATGGTCAATTCAACAACCCCATGATTGATTGTTATCAAGAAATGCAATCTTCATATGTTCACGAGAGACGTCAAGTTGACTTGATCGAGCATTTGTGGGAGATGAAAGGCAATCACAATGGATGAAGTCAAGATTAGTGTTTTGTTTGGAATTATGCTTTATTTTGTGTGTGGTGTTTTTTGGAATTATGCTTTTTATTATTATTATGCTTTTATGTATGGTTTGTTTCGTGTGTTGGAAAGGCAATAAATTAAGGTTTGTTTTTAATTAATCTTTGTTTTGATGCTAAAATGTTTTTAATAAATAGTCATATTATTTAATGCTTTGTTTATTGAATAAAAAGGAAACAATACAACATATGGCAAAGGTGTTTCAATACAACCTAATGGTTTTCATCATTTAACCAATCCATATTGCTAGGTCCATCGTCATGGAAAAGTTTTCTTCTCATCACATCCCTTCGTCTTAGCTTCCAATAGGCCTTTGTTTCAGGAGACATATGGTTCGTATCCATGGCCATGATTTTCATCTCTCTATCATCCATGTCTTTTTCTTGTGCCTGCTGCTGCTGAATTGCAAATGCTTCCTCTCGTGCCATGTCCACTTCATCTCTTTTCAAGTCTCTCTCAATTCTTAGTGAGGTGTTCTTAGCTATTTGCTCCAATAATTGTACACATTCATTGTTCGAAGTGCCCCCTCTCTTGGCCTTTGCCGCCTTTCTCCCAATAGGTCTCAGCGGACGTGGGAGTGGTGACTCCATTTCCATTGGGGAGTCCAATGGCGAATCGTGGAGCGGCGTCTCATTCAACACAACTGGCGGACTGGTGGGAATAATTTTGAATCTCGAACAATCCTTCACAACTTCCCAACATTGGAAATGCACGAAACTTTTTTTGCCTTGCCCCATGGCATCGAACCACATTTGTGCTTGTATGATCTATTAAAAATAAATAATTGGAAGTGCAAGGAAAAATAAATATTATGCAAGAAAATATAAACTATTTTGAAATGCAAGAATAAAATTGATTATGCAAGAAAATATAGACAAATTGGAAATGCAAAAAGAAAAGAAAAAAGATTATGCAAGAAAAAGAAATAGAATATGCAATAAAAAAAAAGTTACATTAAATTGATTAAAATGGCAATTATAAATATTTTACCTCATCAGATAGATTTTGACCGCTTTGAATGTTCTCCCTTGCTTTTGTTAAGGCATTTCTCCATTTCCCTAACTCTTTATTTAGAAGTTTCCATCTATTAGACAAGGCTATTTCGGTCCGAATGGAACCCGATCTTTGACAAAATTCTCCATGAATTTTGCTCCACATATGATGGAACTTCATCTCATTGCCCGTGATAGGGTCATGACTAATGTTCACCCAAGACTGACACAATGCAATATCTTCCTGAGTTGTCCACGAGCATCCGGCTTCGACAAAAAATGCCATTTGTTTTTTTTTTTTTTTAATACAAATGGAAAGTGGTAGAAAAATGTGAGTGGAGAGTAAAAAACATTGGAAGGAGAAGAGTTTGTATGGAGAATTGGTGTGGAAAGTGAATAATGTGAGTGGAGAGTAAAAAATATTGGATGGAGAAGAAATTGTATGAAGATTTGGTGTGGAAAGTAAATAAAATGGTTAGGTATTTATAGGGAAAAAATACAGAATTTTTTGGTATTTTTTTAAAAAAATTTCAGAATTGTTTCGATTTTTTTTGCAATTTTTTAGTTAAAAAAACGAGGACCATCGGATTTTTGGAAAAAAAAATTGATCGGAGCATCCTGGTTGCAACACGTGGCACATGCCCGTTGGATTCTATGGGCGGTGACGTCAGCGAGTGGAAGTCAAATTTTTTTACCGTTGGCGATTGAAACTCACGCGCCAACGGTAAAAAAAAAAATTTGAATTACCGTGCACTAACGTCACAACCCTCGGGCTGAAGCCCAGGCGTAACCTGCCCTTGGGCTTGCCCGGGCCTGGTCTCTCGCGCTGGAGGGTGTTTGGGCTTGCCAGGAGGGCCTTTTGCCTGGTTTGAGTGCAGCGATGGTGCTGCTCTTAGACACCTCACTTCTCTTCAAGTGCTAGAAATTGAAAGTTTCCAAGTCTGGAATTCCTGCCAGGATAGGAACTTCAACACCTCATTTCTCTTCAAAATCTATACATTTGGAACTGTCCCAGTCTCCAATGCTTGCCAGAAGAAGGTTTGCCGCCATCTCTTTCTTATCTGCGTATCCTCTTTTGTCCTGCCTTGGAGAAAAGGTATAAGAATAAGACAGGATAAGATTAGGCCAAGATGTCTCACATTCCTTGCATTGAGATAGGCAACGAAGTGATCATATAATATGAGATATTTCACTCTCAACCCTCAACTCTCAAATCAAAGTCATGTTAGGTATGTGGCTTCTCTTACTTAAAAAATTGCTTCTCTTCTTTTAATTGAATACAAAAAACCAAAACACATATTCTCTCTCTTCCAAAAACCCAAATCCATGTTGGACATTGCCCAAATTTAATCTCCAAATTTCTAATAATTTCACACATCTGATCAAAATCATAGCTTTTTGTTTAAACTAACACAATTTGTTACCAAACACATGTTTTCAATTTTTGAAAAAAGGAAAAATTAAAATTAAAAATGGAAAATGAAATAGTTATCAAATGCTGTCTTTGACAAAAGGTTTTTGAAGAAGCAAAAAAAACCTACATGGCCCACACATTAGGAAAATATATATATATATATATATATATATATATATATACTACTATAATATTTAGTAAATTTAGATTTTAGCCATAAAAAAATTTTCACTTTTGGAAAAAGCCAAAACTTTTTTAAAAAAGACAGAAAAACCTCTCAACTTTCAAATCAAAGACATGCAAGTGTAAATGATTTCTTAGGAAATCCAAAAATAAATAAGGGCAAATTTGTCCATTTTGGCTTCTTTTACAAAATTTCTCTCTCCTTTGGGTTTTTCCAAAGTCTCCCATATTTACAACTAATATATATGTGGAATTTAATTATTTATATTTTTTACTTTGCATTTATGAAGCTTATTCGGTTGATGCAAAGACATTTTAATGGAATCAAACTACAAAGGTAATATTTAATTCCACTTTTTATTCTTATTTTTTCCCCTTATCTTTTTTCTATTCTTGTACCTGAAGTATAACGTTAATCATAACACAAATTAATGTAAATTTACATCCCAGATAATAAAAAACGAGTCATTTTATAGTGAGGGTAAGGCCTTAGAGGCCCCATCTTTTAACTGTTAGATCAAACTAATCAATTTGATTTAACAGTTAAGAGAAAGAACCTCATCTAAAAATGAAGCCCTCGCTATAGAAGTCTTGAATAAAAACCTAAGCGTCAACTAGAAGCCCAAGAAAAGCTTAGCCCAAAAGAAGCTTAAGGAAGCGTGCGTAACTTTTAAGTCCAAAAATGATTGTATAAAAATGCGAGTCCAAAAGCCCTCTGGGATTCAGTTGTCGAGCCCACACCACAAGTTTCAACTACGAGTCTACGACGCTGAAGTTCTATCAAGTTAAATATTCTGAAGGAAAAAAAATCTCAGATTTGATCTTACACATCGTGCTTGCCGTTGCAGATCGGAGTTTTCAAATGATATGAAATTTATGAAATCGGGAAAAGCTTAAGAGATTCATGGGGAAGCCGGCGAATGCGTGGATGGGAATGCAGAAGAAGAAATGGTCTTTGATGGTTCTGGCGCTGTTTTCTCTCTCCACTGCCATGGTTTTCTTCATGAGAACTGCGTTTGATTCATGCAACGCAAACACCAGCAGTAGTTTCGAGGAAGGAAGAGATAGAGCCAGTGAGGTGGTTCACTCAGCAGGTCGAGCCGGGAGCGGCGGGCCGAGCCCTCTGGATTTCATGAAGTCCAAGCTGGTTCTCTTAGGGGGGTGTATTCAATTAGGATTTTAATAGATTGTAATCACATGATTTTAATGTAATGGATTTCAACATGATTTGTAATTACAAGATTTTACTTATGATTTTAATAGATTGTAATTACATGATTCTCTTATGATTCACTTGGGATATTTTTGTATTCTCCAAAGAATCAATTGATTTGCTCTAGGATTTCATATGAAATAAAAATTATATAATAACATGAATTAATTATGGCACATGGATAAATAACCAAATGATAAAAGTAATAACAATAACGTCATGTATCAACTAGACATGGCTTAAGGAAAACAAAAGTTATTCAAGACGTAATAAACATTTGTTGGAGCTTCATCTCCTCATATGACCTAGATAGCATAGCTGAAGCTATGCTAGCTCTCCATGTATTAGCATCCTCTCTTTGTTGGTCTTGGGTTTGATAAATCTGCTCAAAATTGTCCTCTTCATCAACTGGTATTGGTGAGGATGAAGATGATGAAGATTCATCAGTTGGCTCAATAGGAAATTCATCGGAACGACACTCCTTACGAAGAAAGTTGTGTAATGTTGCACATGCTAACACTAGCTCTGCTTGTGTGTTAAATAGAAATGGAGGAGCTGACTTAAAAATTGTGAAGCGCGATTTAAAAATACCAAATATCCTCTCGATCACATTCCTTAAGGACGCATGACGAAGGTTGAACAACTCATTTTCATTTTCAAGATCACGACCATGACCTGCAAAATCTTGGAGATGATATCGCACACCTCGAAATGGAGCTAAAAATTGGCGTCGGTTGGCAAATCCACAATCCACTAAGAAATGTTTACCTAATTATATAGTACACACACATATATATATATATATATATATTAGTATGCAACATAGAAATAAAACTCATTTCTAACAAAAAAGATAAGCATTTACCTTGAGGAACTTTAAGACCATTCCTCCTTGATAGAGCATCACTTAACACTTTTGAATCATGAGCCGAACCCTCCCATCCTCTAAGGACATACATGAATTCCAAATCAAAATTGCAAGATGCCAATACATTTTTGGATATATTTCCACGTCGATTACGATAGTTGCTGACATCGCATCCCCTCACTATTGCTGGAATATGTGTCCCATCAATAGCTCCAATGCAATCCTGTAATAATTCAAAAATGTAATGGTATAATAATAATAATAATAATAATAATAATAATAATAATAATAATAATAATAATAATAATAATAATAATAATAATAATAATA